TTAGTGTCGCTTATTTAAATTGATTTTTAAAATTAAGTTTTTTGAGAATATGTTTAGTGTAATTTCTAAAAGATCCCAGCATTTGAGAATTTTTGGTTAGGTATTCAGTGAGATCTGTTCGAAAATATCAAAATTTTCGAAATCATCGTGAATCAAATTTTCTCAAGTATATTTAAATGGTAATATTTAGTGTAATATATCATTCGAATTTTATACCTCGAATTTACACGCGGCATTTGATTTGCTTTCCTTAAGCGTAGCCCGCGTCTTTGAGTCGCGCGTGGCCGTACGTATAGAGCAGATATCCCCTGACAATTAAGAAATAACGGGATTTCGTAAACCGGCCGAGTAGGACCGTTATGACAGCCGTCTCCCTCGAACATGTTTGCTTCTGAGAGTTAGAAATACAGCCTTCCACGTAAAACCTTAACCATATTCTTGATGTCTAGCATAGACAACGACCCCATTGACTAGATCATTATGATTTTTTGCTTCTTGCTTTGCATTTTAGGTAATTTAAAATTTATGGTATAAACGATTTTAAATTTCACTACGAGGTAGTGAGGTTCAAAAATCATAACTTTAAGAATATCACCCATATATAGCTATACCTGGTATTAAAATGAAGAGTAGATTCAGATCTTTATGTTGATTAATAAGAAAAAAGAATATTTGTAAAACAACACCCCTAAAAATTTAATCTAAAAAGCGACACTAATTATGACCCGACCTAATAATTTCAGCATATTCACCGGACATGTTTTTCCTTCTAAGGTAGTTTTATGATACATCCTCTGCTATGGGTGGGGATAACAGATTAAGCTTGGCTCACTGAGATCCAGCAAACCTTAATCAACCATAGCTTTTCTTGTCTTGATTCCATCGTAAATGACATTTTTTCCCACCGGATGAATCAAGTCTGATCACTTATTATAAAGTTAAATTTGATAAATGGGAGAAACGTCAAATAATTACATATTCTCTTTTAAGATTTTAAAGATCACTAGAGTAGTCCAAAATACATGTGCAAGGAAGGAAGCAACATTTTCGGCTTCTTACTTCAAGGCTAAGACTCATCGGTTAACCGAACCGCTGTTTTCGGTTAACCGGAACGAAAATTTTTTCAATGTTAAGGAGTTATTAAGGATTAGCGGTGGGGTATAAGTGAATTTGTTGGATATAAGAGGTTTGATATCGGTTGATAATAAGTATCGGGTGATAAACCGACAACCCTATTCAAGGCATATCAAAACATAAGACTTCATTCATCTAAACAATTTAACATCCTCAAAATGTGTTCGCATAAATATCACTGTAATCGTTACAGTGCCCGGCAGATAATAACTATACTCCAATATTTTCGCGCTAATGTCGCCCACAATAAATTTAATTTATTTAATAAGATCATACACCATTGGATATCTTTTGACTGGTGATTTAAAAGTGTATTTAGCAGTAGGTATATCTATACCACTTTATGGGGTCGTACTGTCCAAGTTTATTTACAACTACAGTAAGTTGCATTCAAATAATAAATTATTAGGTTAACTTTCCAGGATAAGGTCATGAGTATGCCGGGTACAAATTTAGAGACCGGAACGGGACGGGATCCCGCGCGGGATTTTGCGAGATACCGCTCCCGCAATACCGCACTTTTTTCGATTTACGGGAGTACGGGATTTTGCTGATTATTCTTGCAGACGTTCTTAGAAGTTACTCTATATTTTGCGGGATGTTTAGAAACGGAGGAAGTTGGTTCCTTGGCCTACTAAACTTGAAAAGTTATTGAAATACATAAGACCTACGGTACCTTGGGCGTCGGTCCTGTTGTACCTTGTGGGTGTACATTGTCCTTTCCACCTATAGTACACCTTTTTAGTAATAACATGGAAAACCAGAAATAAACTAGGTGGTTTTATAATTTCTTAACACACTATAATATTGGCGCCCATACTTAACCATTTAGTTATTCATTAGAGATTTTTAAAATATAAAATAAAAAATTTAAGAAACAAATCAGGTTGATACAGTTGACGAAAGCCATAAAGATCGTATAAGAATATTAATTGTTTGTTTGATTAGCGTACTACCGTGTCCATTCTATATTGTAGTGTATACGACTTTTTCCCGAATCCAATTTACCGAAACATATAGCAGAACTCTTGCGTATTGTGTAGAGTATGCCGGTAACACTTTAATCAACTGCATTGAGGAAATTTGCTTGGTTGTTATCTCAAAAGATTTTCGTAAAGTAATCAAGAGCCAATTTATTAAAACTACACAAACTCATGCTGTTGCTACAACAGTCTATGTCTCACAAGCTTCACAACGACAAGGAATGCGTCAATTTAATGTACAACGTGATAATCTTGTTCGTAACAATTGAAAGGGAATTTTTTCGATTTTGCTGATTTCTCTGTGGCATATTCAATGAGAGGCATCCATAAAGAAAAGATTATTTTTAAATATAAATTAACATTTTTTAAATATACAAAGATATTTGATTTTCTTTTTTCACCCATGAATCTACATATGCCGTCCCGGATGAATTTTTAAAAAATATATAGTAAATAAAATTTTATAAAATAAAATTGTAAAAAATTGTCTAAATAAAATTGTATAAAAATGGTAAAGTATTTATAAAGAAATTTTAATTATTTATCACGACTAATCTTAACAAATCATAAGCAACAGAGACGGACGAAAATATAATTTCGCTCTCAATGAAACGAAATCGAAGATTTCGTTTATTTATTTATTTTATTAGCCCTGGTGTAGATGTCAAAATGTATCAAATATTTGATCAAATTCAAATATTAGCCTGCAAATCCTCTAATATCCCTTCAAATCCACTGATTCCTCCGTGATATCAGACAACTTGTAGGGATTAAAAGTAATTGTGTGATATTGAGGTGGACATATTTAGGGAAGGATTGAGGTCGTCATATTTAGGGAATATGAAGGATTCGTTAAGGATTCCGATAAACTCTAAGAAAGGTTCCCTTAAACTCCCCGAAACTATGATATCTGCTTGAACGCCGAATTCGATCAAATTCCCGCCTTAATCCTCCGGTATCTATTAAGATCACCTTAATCCCGCAAAATCCTCCTATATCCCATTAATCTTTCTTAATATTAATAAACTAATAAGGCTATTAGCATATAAAACCTCTTCAATTTTCTATGCTGCAGGCGAAAATTTTGAAAAATTCATGCCATAATTGCTTCTTCATTGAGAGAAGTCCTTCTTCATGTTTTCTACTTAAAATAAGTTTAGGAGAATATCCTTTCAAGAATCAAGTGTTTGCTTAATAATTCTTGATTATTTTCAATTTTTTTAAATTTTAAATAAATACATAAATAAATTTTTAAATATTTGAAAAGAAAAATTTTGGATATTTCTTTTTAAATTATAATCATATTCTCCGTTTAATTTATTTTGTAAAGGAAGAGAATGAACAATAAAAGAAAATAAATGCTTTAAATAAATGAAAAAACTAAGGAAAATTAATGTTTGATTCGAGAGTGTTTTTAATTTAAAAATTTTTTTGTCTTTAACAAAAAAACCCACTCTATTATATAATTTACACATTCTTATTAATTAAACGGACGTTAAAAAGTACACAAATTGGGTATAAAAGATTCGACTGCACTTTAAAATTATAAAATTTAACCACGACTACTTGAAACAAATTAAAATTAAGTATATGTCGGCGTCAAAATTTAATTTTAGAGAGATTTTTGAACAGGCATTAGTGATGTTCGAGACTTGGACTCGGTTCCCGAGTCGGGAATTTTTTCGAGTTTTTCCGAGTCGGGATTTCCCGGTTCCCGAGTCGGGATTTTTTCGAGACTTCCCGAGTCAGGATTTCGCGGGTTTTTTGAACTCTCGGGCTCGATTCTCGGCTTTTTTAACTCCCGACCATCACTAAAAAAATACACATACCAATTATTTATTTTATTAAGCGTTGACATAAATGGATAATTATAGCCTTTATAATTGCTTTTTAAGATTTAAAGTAATAATTTTTATTTAATTTAAATCGTTGAAATAAAAATCATTATACATTTAAATATTTGAAATGCATCTTTATACGCTTAAATAAACAGAGATTTTGCTTTATAAAATTATTTTCATCATCTTCTGATAGAACCACTGTTATTAAATAGCAGTGATCGAACTATAATTAAAATCAACGGTATTTATCGGTATTCCGTATCGGCAGTACGGTACAGAATACGGTAGGTAAAGCTTAAATAGTTTAGCCGTCGGGCAGCTAGGTGAATAATCCTAAGTAAGGTAGAAGAAACAAGATTTTTTGCTTTTATAATTAAATGGCTGTCAATTTAATATGCACCCTATTTTTGAACAAACAACAGTTTTATAAATAAGTAACAGCTAAGCCTCTGACAATGTCGCGTTAAAGCTAGTAGAAAGCTTTGCTTTTTATTCTTGTTTAGCTGAACACGATGGCACTTCGTCCGTGAAACCCCAGAACGTTGACACGCCTTCCTCGGCAACCCCCGATCTCAACACTCCCATCCCAAAGGTTTGGGGTGTTACCCTCATCTTTACTCCTAAAATTTTTTATCCTAAGGTGTATACATCTGCCGGTAGTTAACAGTCAAGGACTGTTAACTGTCAAGGAAATTTTCCTTCTCATTATAAAAAAAATTTCGACCCTTAATTTAATTTTAAAAAATATTTTGAAAAATTGCGAATATTCTCAGACATAAATAAAAAAATTAAAATTATATAAACAATTTATAATAAATATTTACTCTAAGAAATAAATTTTTTTCACATATTAAGTACAAAAATATTTATTTATTTATTTAATTTTATTCATTTTATTTATTTATAAGACAATCACAGGTACATATTTGTACACTAATGTGATAAAAAAAATAAAAATGTCAATAATAAAAATAAATAGGTAAATTAAAACATAAAAAAATGGAAAATTAAAAAATATATATAAAAAAAATTTTTATTTTATTTACTCCACTCCAGACAGTCTTAGTAAATCTATTTCTTTTGTATATTCCCTGAATTTTTTTAAATTATTAATTTCAACTATTTCTTTTGGTAGTTTGTTCCATAATGATATTATTCGGGTAAAAAAGTTATTTTTTGATTTTTTTGAAAAGGGTCTATTTTGTAAAAGTAAAGCCCTTCTTTTTGCCCGTTTGGTTAAAGTAAAATATTTTTCTGGTTCCAAATGAGTGTAATTTTTAAGAATTTTATGTGTCATACAAAGGTCTGTAAGAATTCTTCTTTCTTCGAGTTTTTTTAGTTTGCAAATTTTTAGTCTATCTTCATATGATTTCTGCACAAGTCCACATTTATAAAATGCTTTTTTAGTGTATAATTTCTGGATTTTTTCAAGAGTTTTTATTTGATCTTTTCTCATAGGATTCCATATTTCTGTAGCATATTCTAATAAAGGACGTAAATATGTTTTATATATGAAAATTAAAGTGTCAAGATTTCGTGATTTAAAAGTGCGGAATATTTGATGTATTAAAAAATATCCTTGTTTGGTTATTTTATCTATTTGATTAGAAAATGATAAATTTTTATCAATAATAACTCCTAAGTCACGTATACTGTGTTCTTTTTTAATTGGTTGATCATCTAGGTAATATTGGTATTCATTATTGTCTTTACCAAGGTAAAGACAAAAGCATTTATTAATTGAAATTTTCATTCCATTGTTTTTTGACCAAGATTGTATAAGATTGAGACTTTCTGATAATTTATTTCTACAGATATCATTATTATGAATTATATATAATTTAACATCATCAGCATACATTTTAATATTTACTTCATTAGGAAGAATTTTTGGTAAGTCATTAATAAATAAGTTAAATAGAAGAGGTCCAAGTACACTGCCTTGTGGGACTCCTGAATAAGTTTCATATTTATTTGAGAGTTCATCATCTATCTTCACATGGAATGTTCTTTTCGTTAGGAAATTTGTCAGAAATTTAAGTATTTTTCCATCTATACCAGCCAATTTAATTTTTTGTATTAATATATTTATAGGTACTGTATCAAAGGCTTTTTCAAAGTCAATGTAGATAATATCAACTTTTTTTTCTTTATCAATATTAATGTAAATATCGTCTAACATTGTGAGCAGTTGTGTTATAGTTGAACGATTTTTAAGAAATCCAAATTGATTTATATTAAAATATTCGTGAAGGAAAATTATAATTTTGTCAGATAGTATTCTTTCGAATATTCTGCATAAAGTGCATGTGAGTGATATAGGTCTATAGTTTTTTGTAGGGTTGCGCCCCGAGCCTTCGGGGTTGAAAAAGTCGGGGGTCGGGGTTTTCGGGGTTGACAAAGTCGGGGTCGGGGTCGGGGTTGTTCAAATTGTTCGGGGTCGGGGTCGGGGCTGAAAATAATGTCGGGGTTCGGGGTCGGGGTCGGGGGTCGGGGTTGAAGTGAAAATTTACAAAATCCAGCATTTTTATCAAACATTACTGTTCATTTCTTCCTCTTTCAGCGCCGCAGGCGAAAACTTTGAGAATTATTGAGGTCGAGAAGCCAGATTTCTTACATTTTTAGCGCCGCAGGCAAAAATTTTGAGAATTTTGAAGGTTAAGAAGCCAGATTTCTTCCATGTTTTGCGCCGCAGGCGAAAAAAAAGATCTAAAATCAATGGACCAGATTTTTTCCATTTTTCCCTAATTCTAGGATCCGAACCGAAGATTTCGGATATCCGGATCCGGTATCCGAACCGAAAATTTCCGGAAATCAGGCCTTTTATATATCAGGATTGGGTTTTAAATTCCGAACAGGACAGAATCCTGCAGAATTAATCCTGAAAATCCTGCCAGTCCTGTAATTTTTTTCCAGGATCCTGTCCAGGATTTCGGGATTTTCAAAAATCTCAAAATTTACGCCTGCGGCGCTGGAAATCAAAATTTTTGGCTAATATGTCCCAACTGAATCTTCGCTGAAAAAAGTTGTTCCCGTAATTGGAACGTCATCCCCTTGGATCAACTTCCCCCTTCACTGAGTCAACATCCCCCGTTGTTGTGTCAAAAGTTTGGTATTCCAAGTAGTGTAAGTCGAGTAGAAAGTAATAGGGCAGGCAGAATTTCGGCAGGCAGGATTTCGGCAGGAAAAAAGGCAGGATTTCGGACAGGATCTTGAAAAATCCTGTGCGGGATACTGTCCTGTGCCGATCTCTAGTCTTTTCCTTTCTTTTGTTTTATCAAAATTACAGCAGAATGCCAACAAAAAAATATATAAAAGTTAATTTATGCAGTTTGAGTCGGGGTCATAAAAATTTTTCGGGGTTCGGGGTCGTCGGGGTCGAACTTTCGGGGGTCGGGGTTTTCGGGGTTGGCAATGTCGGGGTCGGGGTCGGGGTTTTAGGTCAAAAAGTGTCGGGGTTCGGGGTCGGGGTCGGGGTTAGTCGGGGTCGGGGCGCAACCCTAGTTTTTTGCAATTGTTTTGTCACCTTTCTTAAATATAGGAATAATTATGGATTTTCGCCATATTTCTGGGATTTCTCCATCATCAAGGATTTGTCTAAAAAGTTCTGTTAAGATTGGAGCAAGAGTTAATGCACAGTTTTTTAGAAGTATGATGGAATAGAATCTGGTGAGGTAGAATTTTTATTCGGAGCATTTTTTAATGCTTCAAATATTTCTAAAACTGTAAAGTATTAGTTATTATTTTATTAATTATTATTTTATTAATTATATTAGTTTATTAATTAAATTTTAATAAAGTAAAATAATATTTTCATTAAAATTCTTAGTGCTTGAAGTATTTATTTTAATAAATATTTTAATTAAGTATATTTTCAACTAGGGTTGCACCCAGAACATTTTAGGGCGGCTGCGCCCTAGGTCGGTTTGCACCTATATTTTCAAATTAAAGCGCAACTATCAGGCATCATTAAGCCTCTGACAATGCTAGCAGAAAGCTTTGTTTTTTATACTTGTTTATCTGAACTAGGTTTGCAATTCGTCCATGAATACCCCAGAGCTTTGATCTGCACTCTTCAACACTCCCATCCCAAAGGCTTGTGGTGTTATCCACATCTATACTGCTAAAATTTTTTCGAACCATTTTTTGACAAAACAATGCGCGAACAGCCCACCCCTCCCATCTTTATTATTTCAATTACCTCACTAGACCATTATTTATTTAAATAATATATTAATGAGCAGCAAAAAATTATAAATATTTATGCTTGACTAAATTATTTTTTAATTAATTTTAAAAATATTTTTAAAAATATTTAAAAAAAATAATTTCTGTGTGGTCAGAGGACTTGTATTTGCGTGGTTTATTAGAAAATAAAAAAAATTTCCTAATTATTTGTTTTTATAATTTAAAATAATGAGAAGTAAATTTTTGTTTTTTCTTGTTAATAATAATTTTGTTTACCTCACTATCATTAAAATTTAATCCAAAAAGATGGCGTGAATTTAGTATAAAAGGCTTGTCACTTTGGACAACGATAACTCAAAACCCTCAAAATATCGTTACTTAAATATCACCACTACAGAAAGAGCTTAGCAAAAGTTTAGCCACCGGGCAGGATTCGAACATGCATTCACCTCCTCATATTTATTGCTAGCCATCGACTCCAGTAGTTGTAAAATAATTTTAACTAAAATTCGAATACCTATACATAAAAAAAGACTAAAAATGCGAGAAGGGCTCATTATTTATCTAACAACTAGGGTTGTTGGCGGTCGGTTAACCGAACCGAAACCGAAAACCGGTGGCATAAACCGACCGGTTTCGGTTAACCGAAAACCGGGGGTCGTAAACCGGCCAAAACCGAAAACCGAGGGTACCGGTTTTTAACCGGTCGCCAACAGCCCTACTAACAACCCATTAAAAGCAAGTCCCGACTGCATACTAGTTTAAAATTTTCGTTAATATTTAAAAATTAAATTTTTTAATAGATGGTAGTTGATTATAATTTAATATATAAATTAATATTACCTTGTTTTGCCATTTTTATTTATTCAGTTTGTGGAACATTTTTATTAATTATACTACGTCCTCTGTATAAATTTTCAAAGGAAAGAACTGCTCTATTTATTCTTTTTAGCAAGGCAAGTTTATTCTAAGCAGAGGTGTTTCGAAACTGAAAATCTCTCTGGGTAAAGGAAAACCCCAGGCCTTGGTCCAGAGTCAGCCCACATGACCTAGTATGCCCCCAATTCACGGGTTTCGATGGCAAACAAATTAATTTTTATCAAATCTAGACTTGTTGCAACCTTTCTCAACAAATTTATCTAATAATCCTCGACATAATTTATTTTTTTCCTGCACTTTCTGCAGCTGTTGGACCTATTATTAATGTTATTTCTCAACCTACGGCTTTACTTTTTGATACTACAGTTTACATACATATAATTTTATTGGCATTAAATCGTTTTCATGCTGTTTACTTTCCTTTTAGTTATCAACAAATTTGGGATAAAAAGTATGTAAAATCTTTTTTAATAAAATACTCGAAAAAGTGGTAAAATTGAAGTTCGTATACCCCCTCCTAGTGTTTTGCCGGAACCGCAAATTTGGCAGGAAATCGAAACCGGATCTAATTTTTTGGTTCCGGGCCGGAACTGGAATCGGAAATTCCGGCAATACCCCCACCTTCTTCCTTTCCTCAAAATATTAAAAAGATGGTCAGACTTCGCTTAATTATTCAACTTCACTCTTTCCTGACATATTTTTATAACCTTCGGGATTTTTAAATTAACATAATGCCATACATTTCTTACTCTAGAGTAGGGTTCAGCGGTACCGGTATTCCGAGAAAAAAACAGTATCGGTATTTCGGATTGATGATACCGATCCCTATACCGGTACCGACTCGGGATCGTGATTAGCCTAAATCGGTATCGGGATTTGAGTTAATGATACCGGTACCGATACCTACTCGGAAGTCGTTCCGCTCGACATGCCCGGCTTCCTCCGCAGCGGCAAAAACTTTTTTTATTTTCCGATCTCTAGACTTCTCCCTTCGTTGACTTGAAAAGGGTATGAGAATCCTGGGAAATCCCTGGATCCTGATCCGAAAGTCTGGAATATTCGGATGCCTAATAGGATGCCGAATATATATACTAGAATACTATTAGCTAAAAATTATTTTTTAAATATTAAATTTCAGAAAACTGAAATACATCATTTTTGTTATGTGGATAATAATTGTGCTTTGGAGTGCTGGAAATTATCTTGGAATTTGTTTTTTAGGTCGGGTCATAATTAGTGTCGCTTATTTAATTTGATTTTCAAAATTAAGTTTTTTGAGAATATGTTTAGTGTAATTTCTAAAAGATCCCAGCATTTAAGAATTTTTGGTTAGGTATTCAGTGAGATCTGATCGAAAATTTCAAAATTTTCGAAATCACCGCGAATCAAATTTTTTCAAGTATATGTATATAATGGAGGTGACAAAAAAGTTCGGAGTGGAGTATTTATTTACCATACATTTCTGTAGACTTAATATTTTTAAATAATTTTATACTCAT